ATAATAACATGAATCAAATATGTACTTTATTCATTTACATTAAATGTCATAATGTACATCATTTTGATTGGAGCTAAGGGCATACACTGTCTAACATGTGGATGCCCTCGAGATCGATTTCAGTCGGTGCAAGGCTAGTGTTCGAACAGCCTTTATAGCCTTGCATTAGGAATATCTCCATACTTTTGTGCTATATTTCATGGAGATATTCCCAATACAAGGCTATAATGGCTGTTAGAACGGGTTCTGCATTGACTGAATCCGGTTTCCCTCTCGTATCTCAGAAATGTTTTTGGTGATTTAGTCATGTTATTGATCACCTCCATCTCTCTTCCATCATACTTGTCATGCCATTAGCAAATGTAACTTGCAATTGTTGGGGCTTTACCTACAGCGGATTTACCAGCAAGACGACACTCTCAACATATCAATTGACTACACACCTATTTTTTTCTTGCCCCATCATTAGAAGAGTTTGGTTTGCCTCAAAGTTTTCTATACGGGTGGAAACTAATCTCCATTGGAATGCAAAGGAGTACTGGTTACGACATTGGTTTCTTTTGGATAACCCATCAAACCAAGGTTTTTAAAACCAAATCAAACAAAGAATCGGTCAGGGGTTCGGTTCCCGAGTCGAACAGTCTGACCTTTTGAACCAAATAGGTGGTCCATTTTGATAAAAAATAAAAAATAGCCAAACTGTTGGACAGTTTGAATGGTTCGACTGCCCGGATCAGTGGTTTACTGACCAAATCAACAGTTTTTGGCGAAATAACAGTTTTGGGGTAAAACAATCCGATTTCTGGTTTTTTTAGTCTGACCATCCAGTCCAGGCCAGTTTTGAAAACCATGCTTCAAACTCATCTTCCATGTCAACTACTGCAAAAGAGGGCCATATTCATGTAGCACATTTAGAAGGCAAGATGTAAAATAGTGATGGAGAATGAATTGTTCCAACCATTATTAGTACTGGTGTTTGCTTCTCATTCGCTAGGTCCAGTTTATATCTTCCATTCTTAATGTCTCACATCCTACTAAAAGTTATTTCTTCTTTTGAAAAATGGGAAAAGCCTTCACATTCTTCCCTAAACTCAACTTAATTTGATTCAAATGGGAATTTCTACTTTGCTAGGTCTGTGAAATTGCCATTAGGTGATCCATTGGAGATTGAAGCTCACTCTACAGCATTCTCAGCTCCCAATTTTACTAAGGAATTAGGAGTTTCTTCTATTGTTCTCAAGGGTGATTCTCTTATTGTTATCAAGAATTTGTTGCCTTCTGATTTTTCTCCTCCTTCACGGATTAGACACACCATTGAAGATTGCAAATTCCTTATTTCTAAGATCCCTCAATAGGAATGGCAATGGGGTGGGTTTGGGGCGGGACACCCCCTCCCCGTAGTCAAGATACTTTGCCCCATCCCTGCCCCGTCCCTAGTGGCAGGGCGGGTTTGGGGCGTGGCATCCACTCCCCGTTGGGGATGAGTAATCTCTGAATTTTCCCGATCCAAGGCAACTTCTTGAAAATTATTTATTTTGTGGACAATTTACACATATAATATAGGAATTTGAGGGTATTTTTGGAATTGAATTATAATACTTTGGGGGTATTTCAGAAATGGAATTATGGGATTTTAGGATTTTAAGAATTTAGGGAAAACTTAGAGATATTTTAAATATCAATATTAAACCTAGAGATATTTTACTAATTTTACCTTTGGGTTCGGGTCGGGTTCGAGGAATTATATACAAAACCCATCCCCACCCCATCCTCGGCTCAGGAAAAAAATATTTTCCCTGTCTCCGTTTAGGGTCAGGGAAAACCTGCCTCGTTTAGGTGGGGCGGGGCCCTGGTTTTACTGGAGAAATTGCCATCCCTATCCCTCACTGCTGGGTTTGTTGGGTTTATCGTGCTTTTAATTAGGCACCACACAAGCTTTATTCCATGACACAATGTTGATAGGCTTTGTTTGCCTTAAAAAAGGGGTTGCATGTAGGGTAGGGCTGTAAATGGTATTTGGAAATTTGATTTCGAATTTCGACATAATCAAATTGAATTTGGATAATTCGAATATCTAACTGGTTGAATTCGGATATCCTATTCAGACCAAATAGTTAATCGGATTCGAATTCGGATATGACCTGATCCAATTCGATATATATCCGAATTCAACCGATTATTTAATTCTTATATATAATATATAAAATATTTTATATAATTTATATATAATAATTAAGTTATATAAATAATTTATATATTTTATATTAATAAAATATTTATTTTATATATTTATTAATCATCTAAAATAATTAATTAATCAAATTCCAATCAAATCGAATATTCGAATATTTAATCAAATTCGAATTTGAAAATGCAGCAGATATCAAATCGAATTCGGATATCGAATTTTATAATCGAATTCGAATTTGGTTCTTACCTGATTCGATTATAATCGAATTCTGTGGCAAAGAAGCCACTCTCGGTCTCCCAGATTCTCTCTCTCTCTCGCATGGAGATTTCCGGCCACAGCTTTACTCCGAATCCGATCCCCAAGGCTAGGGTTTCGAGAGCTCGTTTTCTTCTATTGAGATGTCCTCAAGGTGTCCTCATTCGGAAACGTCAACGGCGGATTCTTTCCGGCGGAGTCAGAGTATCTGTTTTCCGAGTATTCGCAACTGCCAAAGCACCAATGGCCCTCGAACAGCCAGGAGGAAAGATGGTAATGGAGCTTGTCGGAGCTTTCAACGAACTTACGGAGAGGATTAATGTGTTGTCCACCAGTTCCTCGCGTCTGCTATTCAAGACCCTCAAGCTCTCTATTCCTATCTTGCAGTCTTTTCCTTTTGCTCCAGATGGCCGCTCTCCGCTCTCTAAAGCACTGTCCGTTGCACTTGTTCTTGCTAACCTTCAGGTATCTGCTTGTGATTAATCTCACTTCTATTTTATTCGAGCAGTTTGAATAGGGTCGATTTAACCATGATTTCATTTATTGGTTCTTCATCTATGCTTAGTTCTTAGAGTTTTATTGGTTTCTATTTCTCCCGTACAAAATAGCACTTAGAATTCTAGTACAGCTTGTTTCTGTAGTGTTGATTTGTAGTTATCTAGATGGCCATTAAGAGGAATGCTATTGAATCCTGAATCCTTTGCTCCTTTCAATAGTAGATCAGCAGCTCACTGAATATATGTAGAACGTAATTCCGGTTCTCACTTTGCAATTACTTCATGGGGATATGTCAGAATAACCTTTTAGAATCATTGATGCTTGCTCACTTTCTGTTCCAATCACAACCATATATGTAAACTGGACAACAGAATCGATTCTTGTTCAGTACTCTTCTTTTTTTTTTATCTCTTTCTGTCCCATCTTCTTTTCCCGCACCGGATATGCCGGGAGACTTTTGAATCGACAATTTATTTCTGCGCACTATTGGGTAATGTATCTTTTCATATGGGTGTCCTTTTAGAGGAACCCAATCTTTCCGTAGATGAGGATCTGCCAATACTAAATGGCTTCCAGGTGAGACTTAGGGAGCCATATAAAGAATAAGTGGAGCGCCATTTTTTGAGTTATAGAAAGGAATCTTGGGCTGATATGTAAAGGAATTAGTCAATGAAGTAAGTCTTCATATTTTATGTATGCAATTTAATATCCTGGTTAATGACATTCTGTCCTTTTTCTTACCTTTTCTTGAGGAAGCTTTATCCAATTTTAAAGGAAATGCTTGGGTTTTAAATCTTTGAGGACTTGTATGGATGGCTTCTTTCCTTAGTTTAATCAAGAAATCTGCCTCCTGGAGCTCTATTTGGTCTGTTGCTTTTATGTATGCACACCAAGTTATTTGTAAACTTCCTAAATGCTTGGTCTGGTCTGTTGTTTGCTTTGTCTCATAAAAGCTTCAGTGCTTGATGTCATAAAATCTTCTTTCCTTAGTTTAACCAAGAAATCTGCCTCCTGGAGCTCTATTTGGTCTGTTGTTTGCTTTGTCTCATAAAAGTTATTTGTAAAATCACTTGGTGTGCACTTTGCCGTTTATAGATTTTTTTAATAACCAAAATGTTGTTTGCAGATGGATGCAGAAGTTATTTCTGCTGGCATACTGAGAGAAGTTCTGGAAGTTGGAGCTATATCCATACATGAAATTAGAAATCAGATTGGTACTGGTACTGCTCATCTGTTGCATGAAAGCTTGCGGATAAGGGAAATCCCTTCAAAGGTGGAAATTTTAGATGAGGATAGTGCCAGCGCACTAAGGAAGTTCTGCTTAACTTACTATGATATTAGGGCTTTGATTTTAAACCTTGCTTTGAAGCTTGATATGATGAGACATCTAAATTACCTCCCAAGATATCAGCAACAGATGCTATCTCTTGAGGTTATGAAGATACATGCACCATTAGCTCATGCAGTAGGTGCCACCACCTTATCACTGGAACTAGAGGACCTTTCCTTCAGATACTTATTTCCATATTCATACCTTTATGTTGATACATGGTTGAGAAGCCATGAAACAGGAAGTAAGCCTCTGATAGATATGTACAAGGAACAGCTGCTTCAATCCTTAAAAACTGATCCTGTGTTAAAAGAAATGGTGGATGACATCTCAATTCGTGGTCGATATAAAAGCCGTTACAGCACTATGAAGAAACTTCTAAAGGATGGTCGCAAGCCAGAGGAAGTAAATGATGTTTTAGGTTTGCAGATCATTTTGAGTCCTAGATCTGGAGATAACAACTCAGAGATGGGCGAGAAAGCATGCTACAGGGCACGGGAAGTGGTGCAATCTTTGTGGAAGGAACTTCCTCATAGGACCAAAGATTACATTTCTAGGCCCAAAGCCAATGGGTATAGGAGTTTTCATATGGCAGTTGATGTTAGTGATAATGGCAAGAGTAGACCACTAATGGAAATACAGATACGCACCACCGAGATGGACATATTGGCTGCTGAAGGAACTGCATCTCATTCATTGTACAAAGGTGGCCTTACAAATCCTGAAGAGGTAAACTATCAATTTATTATGCAAATGAAATTTTGAGTTTCTCAATGTCTTTGTACATTAAGTTGCTTGTCTCTATGGCAATTCTCAATCCTAGCAAATTAGTCAACACTAAGGAAATATTGAATTTCTCAATTAGAAAACTCCTTACATGCATAGAAGATCTTAATTTTCCCTCATTGCATTCTAAAGATACATACTTTAGGTTGTTTTTGGTTGCAGTACAAATTTCATTTGAACTGGTTTAAATGCATGGGCGTGCTAAAGGGTTGAGTGTAAATTCTGGCTTACTTTTGCTTCAAATTTGACTGTCTTGTTTGTTTGTGAGAAGTAAAATGAAGTGGCCTCCACTTTAAATGAAAGAGAATGGAGGCAGGAGGGTTATCTGTCTAAGAGTAAGGTAGGGTGCAAGATGATGTAGTCCCCACTTTATATAGAAAGAATCAAGGTAGGAGGCAGGTGGTGCAAATTTTGCATTGATTTTTGGGATGTGAAATTTGCACTGCCAATGAGTGCAAAAGAGGTAATAAGTACAATTTTTTTTGTATCAGGTAGGAATGCAAATCATAATTACAAACAAATAAAAACAACACTGAACTAGGTGCAAAATTTGCACCTGGTCGAGATTTGCATTGCAACCAAATGCAGCCTTATGAACTTATCTCATACTTTTGAGTTCTCACATGTCACTTGATCTATCTGGATCTCTCATTTTGCTTACACAGGCATGCACTTTTTGTGGTTTCTTTTTGCTGCTTCAAAGGATGAGGCTTTGAACTTTTAAGTTGAAAAAATTTCTGATATAACAGCATTTGGCAAAGCTATAACAGTTTTTTATTATGTATCTATGTTCAGGCAAAAAGGCTGAAGACCATTATGTTGGCTGCAGCTGAACTTGCAGCATTCCGTCTCAGAGATCTGCCTTCTGCAAGTCACAAAGGTCTTGAAATTGACCAGAGAGACAGAATATTCCGCCTTCTTGATAAGAATGGAGATGGTAGGATTAGTATGGAAGAACTTAAAGAAGTGATGGAAGAGCTTGGAGCAGAAAGAGAGGATGCTGAGGAGATGATGCGGCTGCTTGATGCAAACAGTGATGGTTCCTTGAGCTCTGATGAATTTGATTTATTTCAGAAGCAGGTATGGCCATAAAAGACAATTAACGGATGATGGAAATGGTTTTCTTAAGGCTATCTTTTTTATTGTGGAAGAAATGGAAAAGTGGGACAGTAAAGGGTCCCAGAATCTGCTAGTTTCCATGTTCAGCTGCTCAATGCTGAAAGTTATGCTGGAGTAATCCAAAATAGTGGATTATTTGTCATGTTTTATGCCCATTTGGTCGATCTGAAATGATCAAGTGGGACAGTAAGGGTCCCAGAATCTGCTAGTTTCGATGTTCAGCTGCTCAATGCTGAAAGTTGTGCTGGAGTAATTCAAAATAGTGGACTATTCGTCATGCTTTATGCCCATTTGGTCGATT